CTTAGAGAGGGCCGAAAGCCCTATGAAGCGGTATATAAGTCTAACTGCTATTGCTATCTCTCTCCCATGTGCTTTTTTGCACAGAACCTCAAACTTTGTGGTCCTGTCCACCATTAAAGCCATCCTTCCAAACAGTCTCCATGAATCCAGTGTCTTTTCCCCCCACTTGGAACTGAACCCAGATGGACATTTCTTCCAACAGTACAAGGTCAAATCTATATTCTCCTTATTTTTATTGCATTCTCCCTATCTCTTTCCCTCCTTGGGTTCTAACAAAGATCATAAAGATAACATCTATAAAATAAAATAAAAAGTTCTGGATTAAACAGATAAAACTTTGCAATATAATTGCAGCCATGCAGATCATTCTATTTTTTCAGATTTGGTGACGGATCAAAATGTGATATATCGTTACATCTTACTGTTGTTCAGACAATACTATGTTGCATTAGTTCCTTTGCATTTGTAGGGAATCACTTACTAAATGCCATATCATCTATGTTTTCTAAGGTGGTTATTGATTTCTTCTTCAGGGTTGTTTGCAAAGGCATCTATAGCAGAGCCAGAAAAGTTAAAAATGGTGGCCACAAGTTCATGAACACAATCCTATTTATGAATAAAAGACAAAGATTTTAAATTCATGGGCATAGCCACCATATTGAATGTCTTTATCCTGGAGAAACTGCTAGCTTGTCTACAATGATCTGGCCATAAATCAAATTATTTGTTTCAAGGTTTAAAAGAAGAAAAGAATTAGCCCTATTGCATAATTTACTAAACTACTTTGAAGTCCTGGATAGTTAAACATAACTTTAATGATACCAAAAGAGCATTGCTAACTCAGAGGCATAAAACAGATTCTGCACAGGGCAGATTCAGATAACATGCCTATAAAAGTATGTTGGCCTGCTGGCCTCTTATGCAGATTAATCTGAGGCCTTACTTGAGTGAAGGGACGTGGTGGTTCAGTGGCTAAGACGCTGAGCTTGTCGATCAGAAAGGTCAGCAGGTCAGCAGTTTGAATCCCTAGCGCTGCATAACAGAGTGAGCTCCCATTACTTGCCCCAGCTTCTGCCAACCTAGCAGTTTGAAAGCATGTAAAAATGCAAGTAGGAAAATAGGAACCAACTTTGGTAGGAAGATAACAGCTTTCCACGTCCCTTCAATCTTTAGTCATGCCAGCCACATGACCACAGAGATGTCTTCGGACAGCACTGGCTCTTTGGCTTTGAAATGGAGATGAGTACCGACCCCTAGAATTGGGAACAACTAGCACATATGTGCAAAGGAAACCTTTACATTATGCTTGAGTGAAGATACTTGGTCCATATTATGAAAAATGGTCCAATCTTCTTCAGTACAAGAGAGGGTTTTTTTAATGTGCTTTTAGTTATTTTTATTAAGAGCTTTAATATGGAACATTAACAGAAAATATTTTAGGCATCACATGGAAAGGCAAGAGTCACCCAAGACATTTGCTCATTGGTATGTGATAATGATATGTGTCCATTAGGCTGGATATTGCAGGAGAGCAATGTTGATCTACAATATCTGGGAGACCTTTTCCAGTTAGCGAATTTCATTAAAATGCTTCTGATATTGCAGCTTTCCAAAGTTATATCTTTCAGTGAAATTTGTTAGTCAGAAAAGGCACCTCAATACCCAATTTTTGACCTTTTTCCCCCAGAGACTAACATTTCTCCTCCTAAAGTGACTATTCCTGATTGTGACTCTGTGTGATTCTAAATGCACTTCACAAATTAAAGGCTTGTGAAATCATTCTAAGGTTTAATCTTCTTGAATTTTACAAAATACTGGTACTTCTATAAAATTATGATTCTTTCCAATTGACTCTGGGGCTTAAGCACATTTCTGTCATTTGAAGGTTTTCCAGGGTGTTCAAAATGGATGTGCTGTAAGAAAAATTAATTCAGAATTTCTCTATTCCTCCTTTTTTTTTAAAGGCAAATAATTTATTTACAGCATATTTCACATACCTATCTTGCTCTAATGCTTGTTAGCTACAAATGATTTCCATAATTATTTCTACTTTCCCAGGAGTATATTCTCTTAGATTAAGTAGCTATGTCTACTGGGCTTGATAACAGTTGAAACTAAAGCTGTTTCTAGAACGTTTTGCTAGAAAGAAAATTATAAATTACAGGAATCAATTTAAGATTTCAAATTTTGTAATATGCAAATGTAGAGTATATGTTTATAAATAGTCAATTTTTGATACTAAATATTCAAAAAATAGAATTATTTCAAATACCAGGATCTTGTGTGATAATTGCAGCCTCTCTAAAATTCTGCCTTGAGTCTAGAGGATGAGATGGTTTTATTTCAGCGCAGCTAAAATATGAATGTCTTACAATATATCACAAACCCCTTTAATAACTCAGATGTTGATAATATGAATAGTTTGAATACCACTGAAATGCATTCTTACACATACAGTGTGCAACTTCATGCTTGTTTCCAATTATTTTGACGTGTCTTTCTCTGTTTTAAGGATCTTAAGAATCATTTAAACATTGGGACACTGTCTGGTCATCTGTCCTAGAGGGCCAATTGGTATACTGTAGTGGTTAAATTGCTGGTTAAAAACCAGGAGTCCATGAATTATAGTTCGAAGTCAATCATTCTCTCTCAGCCCAACCCACATAATATAGCTTTTGAAATTGGGAAAGTAAAAGGTGAGAATATTAGGTATGTTTGCATATTGCCTTGAATTGACCAATTATAAAGGTAGAATAAAAATTAATAAATAATGGGAGCAGAATAAATTATTAATGGAATAAAGCAGAAGAAATCAATTCTCAATGAAAAATAGGTTGAAATAGACTGTGTTCCAACCAACATGAAATAACATCTACTAACTTTTATGGACTCGGTTGCAGTTAAGTTGCTTTTTAAAAGTTTGGACATTTCAAAACTTCTTTAAAATTCTTAAACCTTTGAGGTCAGGTCAAAGTTCAAGGGATAGCACTACAAATAGTAAGCTTATCATATAAAACCTTTGGATGAAGATTACAGATGGCTGCAGTTTATTAGCCTTCCTGCTCCCTTTATGGTTTACATCCAAAATAGTTAGTGATGATCCTGGCTAGCCAAAGGAGAATATTACTAACATGGTATTTTATTCAGGATTTGCTTCATTTTGGTTACAGGGAATAATCTTCTTGAATCTTAGTAACTAACTCAGACTTAGAGTCTATAGTGCATTAAACAAAATTCAACATTTTGTTATTTGTGCATTTTTAAGCAGCCTTAGGCATTTCTCAGAACTGAAGAGGAAAAAGGAAGTCAAACAAGCCAAGTTTCTGCTTGTTTTCTTTCTTGAAAGCTTTCTAATAAGAATCTTTACTAACCAAAGCATGGAGGGAAGACCATGAGTGCACAATCACTATTCAGGTTTTATTTTTCTATCTATCAGTGAAGATAATAATGTATACTATTTACAATTCTACAGTTCGACTTTATCTAAGGTATTTGTTAGAAAAATTTAACTGTCCAATATTAATATACTCTAAGGGGGAATCTCTAAGATTCTTCCAACAGCTCTTTTGAACATTGTCTTGAATCATTTTTGTAAAATAGAAATGGCCTCACATTTCATGCAAGTGTTTCAAAAATTCTATGCATTTAAAAGCCTGCCTTGAGAGGACAGCAATCATTTCTTTTCACAAACAGAAAATTTATTTCTGCAATGATCAACTGGCAGATGATTGAACAAGATTTTACCTTTTTTATTTTGAGGTAAGTGTTGAAGTAAGTGTTGTCAACGGTACTATTAATGTTAACATAGCTTCTAAACTATATATTCTGCTAAAGTAGAGAAGACTATCTAGGCAATCAGAAATCTGATTCACATATACTGGTTATAACTTCCTACAATCTCAGGTTTCTTTTCCAGACTTGCCTTTAAAAATGCGGTTCTAAACGTGAGGTTTTTTCACATGTCATACTCTTGGTCACAGAATTAAGAGTCTTTTCTTAGTGAATAAAATGTCAGCAATTGTCTGAAAGATATCAGCAATATACATTAAAATAGATAAATAAGAAAAGATCAATACTAGGGTTACAAATATAGTTTTCTTAATCTAAGGAAATACATAGAATTTCCACAAGGAACTTTTGTGGTGTCCTCAATGACAGTGTTAGCGTATTTAGCAGCATTAGTTATCTGGGAACCTTGAACTCCTATGGATATCATCTCAGATTTCATGGCAAATATAAAGAAATTTATAAAGTGGAAATGTAAGGTCTACAATGGATCTCCATGGCTACTCTTGGATACCTATATTTAGGATTGAATTATCAAGTGAGGAAGAAGATATATTTCAAGAGCATTTAGGATTATTTTCAAGGATCTCATAATAATGATAGCAATATTGTTAATAAAAACCCATCAGAGTTGTTGTTGTTTTTAGTTTCTCATTAGTGTAAATTGTTGTACATCAGAAGTGTAGAACAAGGGAATGTTCAAAACCCCAATTAACTCACAGCTATCATGTGATGCAAAATATGAACCTCAAAATGTATTCGATTTATATTCTGCTTTTCTTCCAACAGTATACATGGGGATTTTCCTTCATTTTATTCCCACAGGCATTGCTCTGTGAGAGAAACTGAGCAGAGAAAAAGTGACTGGCCCAAAGTCACTCACAAAGCTTCCATATGGCCATGGAAATGGCCATGAAGCTGAATCTCTCTGGAACTAATGCAACATCTAAAGCACTAGACTTTTCCCAGATACTTTCTTCTCACAAGGTCTGGTAGTTTAGCTCCTTAAAGAACAATAGTGAAACAAACAGATAGAAGTATATCTTTAATTCCATTTAAATGTGCATCTTAAATTCAGTACAAATATAGGTGGTAGTCCCATAGTTCCTAAGGCAGTCAACATCTCTTTTGACACAAGACCATTCAACAGGAAACAGTGTGTGCATAAAACAAAACACCAATCTCTTAGCTTGTAAAACAGTAACCTTTAAGAGATGTTGCTCCCTTTGTACCATTTGGGATAGCAATGTTCACTTTTTGCACAATGATACTACTTTGGGAGTAAATATTGGCACTGTAAATGATTTTTATTGTAGTATAGGGTTGAACTCTCTTCATAGACCAATAAAAATAAACTCTGTAATAAATAAATATTTAAAATAAATATATGCACTCTGAAGATATATAAATTAGGTCCATCCTGAAGGGAAAAATAAATCCAGATTTTGCTGCCCAATTACCACAGTCTTCATAAAGCTCCATGTTAACCATCCACATGGTTATCAATGATGTTAACTAGCCGTTTTTTCCAAGTTATCTACAGCCAACTCCCATTTACTTTAGTAATTATTTATGCTCCAAGTACAGGATCCAGAGCAGTTTTGATAAGTCCAGTTCAAACATCTTCTTGACTAGCACAGAATGAGCGTACCTAAAAGAGGCTGGTCAGCTAGACTTTAATATCCATTCTCCTAAATCCAGAGATTAGGCATGAAGGCTTGTCTACCACTAAACAGCTTCACTGATGCCTGCTTTCTAGATCTCAAAATTTTCAACATTTAGAAGTTGCTCTTGCTTTTAGAACTGTAGAGGCTAAGATCCTGTTTTTCTCTGTGGTTGTCTTCAACTCATTGCTAACAGGTCCTTGTAGAGCTCCGGAACTCTTTCGGGATCCACCGGTCTAGGCAAGAAATGAGTGAATTTCTGATGCCTTTTGGACCTTGCCCCATCTCTGGGACTGCCATCTTTGTTAAGTGCCACAAAGTACCTCCGGCCTGAATCTCCATGTTTGTATACATTGGAGGAGTAAGTGTTATACCAGTTCTCTTCAAACTGTTCTTTGAAGACACATTCAGGAGTGAGCTTTTCCTACAGGGTGAAAAAAAGAGAAGCCTCTTCAACCAAAATATACATACATGGTGATAAGAGATGATAGAGCTAATCCTATGTTCATTATTACCTCAAAAAGTTTCTTTCTAGTGTGATATTTTTCACAGTTTTATTTCTTCACTGTTTAAAAATAAAGATATTGTTTTAATAAATTATTTTATTCTGCAGAGGATATTTTTTATCAGTAAGGAATACAGCCTGTCTTAAAGCTCTGCCTGCCTATACAACAATTCTTACACTTCTCAATTTCTTATACTGCATAATATCTTCTTTTTCTCCTTCCTTTCTCATCATTGAATCAATGAACCTAGATTACAACTTGCTTTGCATTGAAATATTAGCAAACATACAACTATGGACATCTTTTAGTCTTTTGGATTAGTAATACTCATGTTCCTTTTCATCCTATCGTCTCTAATTATTTGGACCCTCAAAACCTACAACTTTTTATAAGCACATAATACTTCCCAAAAAAGCTTTGTTTCGGGTTATTTCATGCACTAGATTAGGGCTGTCAAACTCCCGGCCTACAGGATACTGGACATGCCCATGCCTGGTTTAGCAAAGGGGGGGGGGAGTCCCAATACGTCATGTGACACCACCATGACGACGTAAGTTTGACACCCCTGCACTAGATCAAACTATGCACATTTTATTCTTCTCCTTTTGTTGGTGCATCTTAAACATGCCTTTTCTCTGAGAAGGCAGCTTACTTAGGAAACTCTTTAAATTTTATTCCCACAATGATCCTGTGAAGGAAGATGGGCCCAAAGTTATTCAATTAGGCCTTCAATTTGGGTGTCTCCTTTCCAAATGTCACATCTAAGTCACTAATTACATCTACTATCCTGGGGTTATACTAGCCTCTCTTTGCTAAGGAATTTCTATCTCCCTTCTGGGAAATCTCTGAGTGGCTTCTAGCAGGGATATTGATTTCAAAAAATCAAGATGGCAGCCCCCTTGGTGTGATTGAAGCTTCACCTGTTTTTTTAGGCATCTCCACCTCAAAAAAAGGCTTTCATTTTGACATTTGTTTTACCACACCCTGCACACCCCTAGCTTCTCACATTACTTTGAACTGACACACTACTTCAGTTGGCTAGAGCCATGTTGTGTCCTCTTGCATAGACTGATAAGCACATTCTATATTAGATACAATGCTGCAGGAATGATGCAATAATTAGCGGGACTTGTCTGCCCTTTTAGGAAAGGGAATAATTCAGGGAAGAACATGCTTTTCCTGCAGGTGTTGTTGAGTTTCTTTATTAAAATGGGCAATGATTTTGCCATCTGAAGGCCATAGTTGTGTTGATTTACAGCTGTCTACAGGTAGTCCTCAACTTACGACCACAATGAGCCCCAATTTTCTGTTGTTAAGTGAGGCAGTTGTTACATGAATCAGTGTAGTTGTTAAGTGAGTAATATGATTGTTAAGGGAATCTGGCTTCCCCATTGACTTTGCTTGTCAGAAGATCGCAAAAGATAATATATGACATTAGGACACTGCAACTGTCATTACTGTGAGTCAGTTTTCAAGTCTCTGAATTTTGATCAAGGGAATACTGCAATGGTCATAAGTATGAGAAACAGTCATCAGTCATTTTTAATGCCATTGAACTTTGAATGGTCACTGAATATACAGTTGTAAGTTGAGGACTTTCTTATATTGGTCTTGTCCTTTCATATCAAAAATTCCCTATAAGATAATAGGATTTTTGTAAATGCTCTTTTCTCCTTTGCACCACTACCTGGAATAATCACGTGATTAGGGGCAGGTGTTTGGCTACTTGATCATTCAAGAAAGTACTTGAAACAACCACCTAAAATTTTGTTTATGAAAAGAAAGAAAAAGCTAATATTCATCTTGTATGTTTTTAAATGTTCCTACATGACTTCCCCATTGACTTTGCTTATCTGAACTTTGATCACATGACCATGGTCATAACTGTGAAAACCAGTCATAAGTCACTTTTTTCAGTACCATTGTAACTTTGAACAGTCACTAAGCAAATTGTCGTAAGTCGAGTACTACTTATATTTGCTTTTGTTTCCCATCTCAGTCTGGTTGACAATTGCACCTAATTTTGGCAACCAGGTTTTGGAAAAACTCTCATAAACCTCTAAAGATGCAAAGAGAATTAAATAATCAGGTACAAGAATATAGAGAAGCCCCCTTGTCTTCCAGAACTTAGAGTGTTTCATTGAGAGAATGCTTTTCAGCTAGATGGATCCATGGTACAACTCTATAGGTAATTTCCTATGCAGTTATTGCCTTTGCATTGATGAAACTCAGGTAAATTTCAAGTGATTCACTTAAAGTCTTAAGTTATCTAAACATGGCGCTATCTGCAATTTATTCAGATAGTTCTCACTTTGTATTAATCCACTGAGTACTATTTTTCTTAAGCTAAGTAGCCACTTCAAGGCAGCAATCCCTCTTGTATTGTTACCAGTCACAAAATTCCCAGGGATTATAAAGATTACTGCTAATGTGAGTCTGTAATATGAGCTGGATGATATGGCAGTAATACTTACAGAACCATAAAGCTCTCCTTTCTCATTCATTCCAAGGTAAAGGCCACTGTCCACTCCTCGAATACTGACTAATCCCACAGCCACACTGATAAATTCAAGAATACCTGCATTGAGAAAAGGGGGAAAATATTTTTAAGGCTAATTATATTTGATGCAGAAAAGTCTGTGCATTAAATAGAAATAGATGCTCAATTAAATATGTGATTAATTCTAAATTGATTCTGCAGTATACAAAATGGGGTATCGAAGTACTCTTGATAATACTGTGATACATACATACATACATACATACATACATACATACATACATACACATATATACACATATATACACATA